GCGTGGCGCGGGCGGGGGGAGTGCGCGCTCCGGGGCGCGAGGCCCGGCCCGGTTCGGTGCACGGATCCAGGACCGCAGGCAGGTACGTGCGCAAGAGGAGAGTGCGGTGGGACGCGTGAATGCACCTGGCCTGAGTGTGCAGCTGTGCAATGCACATACTGCATCCCTGCGCAATGTGCATGGGTGTGCAGGTGTGCAGCGTGCATGCGGCTTGTGTGTGCAGGTGTGCAACAGGCACCCTGTGTGCTTGTACATTGATTGCAACGTGTGCGCACCTGTGTGTGCACACAGGCAAAGGCAAAGTGCACCTTGTATCTTTGTGCACTCTTGTGCAAGAGGTGTGGTGCATGCATGTGTGGATGTGCAGAATGCATAGGTGTGCAGGTGTGCAATGTGCACAATGTGCGACTTGTGCATCAATGTGCAATGTGTGTGGTGTACATACATGTCAGCATGAAAAGTGCATGTTGCACATGTGTGCAGTGTGGGTGGTGTGCCCTTGTGTGTTGGCATGCAGTTACACGTGTGTGCTAGTGTGCCTGGTGTCCAGCTGTGTGTCACTGTGCGTGGCTCACCTGCACTTCATTGTGCTTGATTGTGCACACCTGTGTGTGTGCCACAGAGCACATGTGCTGCTCAGTTGTGTCCTAGTGCGTTAGGGAGTGACAGTATGAATGTGTCAGTCCTTAAGGCATGTGTGTGTGGGCACAACTATAGTGTGTGTGCACATGCACATTAGTGTGTAAATGCGTGTGCCAAGTTGGGAGGGGCATGTATGTAAGTGGCCTGCAGGTGCCTTGCAGGCCTTGTGCAACACATACTAGTGAGCATGCCTCGCATGCTGGGCGCTTGTGCATCTGCTGTGTGCACACAGCTGTGCATGCACGTGCGCATGGGGCGAAGCAACGTGTTATGCCCCCATTATAAGCAGCAGAAGTTGCTGCACGTTTGTATGGGGGTGCTTTTATGGGGGGTGCTTGTGTGCCTGCACATGGTAGAGCTGCGTGCAGGGTGCATGCAAGGTGCCACATACATGGGGCTCTAGAGCTGCCCCTGCTACCACCCTTCTGCTTCTCCTGCCCTGCAGCCCAGGTGTGACCGTGAATCCTGAATCCGCCCTCCCTTCCAGGCTGCCGGGGACATGCAGTGTCTCCCGTCCATGTGGAGCAAGGTGCTGAACTTTAGTCTCCGAGCAATTAAGGTGCCTGAAACTGCACTTCATTAATGGTTGTTATGCAATAAAAGCAATAAAACTGCCCTTATTTGCAATATAAAAATGCAATTTGTTTTAATTTATGTTTTTAAATACTCTTTGGGTCTTTTGCGGGCGCTGCCAGGCATCCATCTTCAGGGCCGGCCGCTGCAGACCTGCGTCGGGCTGGGGACACGCGGGATGCGGAGACTCCCCCAGCCCAGCCTCGCTCCCAATGCTGCTCCCGGGTTTCTGACCTCGGCACGGAGCTCAAGGAGAGCGTGGGGCCCCGGGGGAGCAGGAGCTGCCGGGACGGAGCTGCCAACAAGATGAATTCTTGCTGTGAGAAATATCAGCCGTGAGAGAGCGATCGATGGCTGGAGAGCAGGGCCGGCCCGGGCAGGAATCCACAGCTCCGGCGGCCACGTTGCACCGGCAAAGACAAATGGAGCTGCTTTCCAGGGGACAATGTCAGAGATTGAAATTCCAGGTCTGTCTGTCTGCTCAGCCGCCCGGCGGCTCTTCCCCGCCAGGCGTGCACGTGCACGCACATGTGTGCACTTACACATGCATGCACACAAATGCATACGTGTACATGCGTGCACGTCCACGCACATGCACACTCGTGGGTGCTCCCTGCCGGGCCACGGGAGACAAAGCCGCGCGGCTCCGCAATCAGCCCCCGTTTATTAGCGCTCGACCTCCTGGTGTTTTTTTGCATTTTCATAAAACAGACGGAGATCCTGAGCCGGGCCTAAGCCACCTTTTCTAATTACAGTAATTGCAGGCTGCCGGCAGCCCTCGGGGGCATGTTTATTCTCTTTAGCTCTCCAAATCCAGGCGAGAGGAATCTGGGCCATCAGGCAGGACTGGAAATGTCTTGGAGCCGCTTGGGCTTCCCGGCAAATCCCTTATCGGGGGCGACACCGCTGGCTCCACTCTTATCTCTGGCGCTAACCAAATAAGCCTGCCTTGGGTGCAGGCTCCCAGGAAGCGGCCGGGGCTCCGGGCGGCTCCGTGGGCGCACCGGGAAGCGTGGGGAAGCAGCTGGCACGTGGCTGGAGCGGAGCAGGGTGCAGAGCATCCAGGAGCCGGGAGCCCTGGGCTCTGGGAATGCTGGGGACACGTTGGAGCTGCACGTGGCGGGGCCCCCCACGTGTCCCTTGCCTGCTCCCTGTGCAAAGGAAAGAGCCGCAACGTCCCCATCCCCATCCTGGGACTTGTTCACAAGTGCAGTGAGTTTGTTGGTTTGCAGCTCAGCTCCCAGCACCCCTGTCCGCCCAATCTCGCTGTTGGGATGGGTTCTGGCATGGGGCTCCCATGGGAACAACTCCAACCTGCATCAGTTCCTTGGGATGGGCCCCTGGATCAGTGCTCGCGGGGCTCCGGTCGGCCTCGCGGCGCACGGGGCAGCCACCTGAGCCCCTCTCCTCCGTCCCTGTTGAGTTAGGGCCCGTGTCGAACTAATCGGATAAACATGACTCCCCGCTAATGCGCTGCAGATGTCTCCCGTGCAGGGCGAGGGGCTCCCCGCCTGCGCGGCCGAGCGAGCGGCTCCCTCGTGCTCCCGGGCTGCAGGTGTGCGAATGCGTGCGCCTGGTGCTGCATGCACTGCAGGCGTGCGTGCTGCAGGCGTGCGTGCTGCAGATGCGCACAGTGTAGGTGTGCATGCTGCAGGTGTGAGTGCTGCAGATGTGCGCACTGCAGGTATGCGTGCTTGCATGTGTGCATGCTGCAGATGTGCACAGTGCAGGTGTGCGTGCTTGCAGGTGTGCGTGCTGCAGGTATGCACATTGCAGGTGTGTGTGCTGCAGGCATGCATGCTGCATGTGTGCACAGTGCAGCTATTCACCGTGCAGGTGTGCATGCTTGCAAAAGTGCACACTTGCAGGTGTGCACGCTTGCAGGTGCAGCTGGCACTTGCATGTGTGTGTGTTTGCACCCCAGCTGCATGCTGCAGGACAGTATTCCCTGCGGTGTCCCTGCGTCCTGGATCCCTGTGCCCGGGCTGGAGGGGGAGCCAGTGGCAGCAGCGATGCTCCCGTTTGGTGCCACGGGGAGTTTCGCGGCTCCCATCCCCAGTCTGGCCATGGAGGCCCTGCCCAGGAAAGGGCTGGGGTTACGCAGGGGCGACCACCCGGCACGGGCACCACGGGGGGATTAAATTAAAAACGAGGCGGGGGAAAGGAAAGGCTTGGAAGTGGCTGCTGACAGCGCAGCTCCCCGCATCCCCCATCACCGTCCCCCACGTGCCGACACCCAGGGACCATGGGGCTGCCCCCGCGTGGCTCCTGCCTGGCCCTTCCTGCCGTTTCGGGGACCCCTTTCTGCTGCACCAGGTCCTGCCAGGTGCTTGTGGTGCCCGCAGGGCCTGTTTGCAGCTCTCACATACCCTGGGCATGCCGGTATCCCAGCCCCATGGCATCCCGGTGTCCTGCCCGGGCTGTGCGGGGCCGCGGATGCTGCTCTGGGAGGCCGGGAGTTGAGGCCGGCGCTACTGCGGATGCCGCAGCCGGAGCGGCACCTGGAGGGAATTAGGCAGGAGCGTTCCACCTCCCTGCAACCTTTTGTAGAGCAAATTCCTGCGGTTACCCATTGCAATTGCTGCAAATTATACAAGCGCCGTGTGTTTCGTTCCAACGGGAGTGCTGGCTGGCGCAGCCCTGTGAGGCCGGGGGTGCAAACTGGCCCTGAGCTGCCACCTCCCTTTCCCTTCTCCCTTTTCCTGTCCCTGTGAACGGGGCAGCCAGGGAGAGGAGCGGAATCTGCAGCACTCTGCTCCGCTCCCAGGCGCTGGTTTGCTGCTCTTGGTTAGGGGCAGCTTCCACAGCGTGCACTGGTGTGTGCAAATGCACCTTAGTGTGCAAATGCACCTTAGTGTGCAAACGCACCGGTGTGTGCAAACGCACTGGTGTGTGCAAACGCACTGATGTGTGCGAACGCACCTTAGTGTGCAAACGCACCCATGTGTGCAAACGCACCCGTGTGTGGAAATGCACCAGTGTGTGCAAATGCAGTGGTGCGTGCAAAGGCACCTTGGTGTGGAAATGCACCCGTGTGTGCGAACGCACCGGTGTGTGCAAATGCACCTGAGTGTGCAAATGCACCGATGTGTGCAAATGCACCGATGTGTGCAAATGCACCCGTGTGTGCAAACGCCCCGGTGTGTGCAAATGCCCTGGTGCGTGCAAAGGCACCTTGGTGTGGAAATGCACCGGTGTGTGCGAACGCACCCGTGTGTGCAAATGCACCGATGTGTGGAAATGCACCCGTGTGTGCAAACGCACCCGTGTGTGCAAACGCCCCGGTGTGTGCAAATGCCCTGGTGCGTGCAAATGCACCTGAGTGTGCAAATGCACCGGTGTGTGCGAACGCGGCTGGAGACACTACCACACGGGGCTGTGGAGACCCTGGGGGGCCGTGGAGGCCCGGGCGGAACGTGGGGCACACGCAGTCCCGGGGGACACGGGCCACGTGGGGCGGTCCCGGCGCCGGGGGCCGGGGCGGCGCTGGCGCCGCTCCCGGAGGTGCCCCCCCCCTCCCGGATCAGCGAGCTCGGTCCGCCGAGGCGGGGGAGCGGCCGCCCCCTCCGCAGCGCCCCTCGCTTCGTCCCGCCCCGCGGCTTCCCGGAAGCGCCAGCGGAGCAGCGGAAGGCGGAAGCGCCGCAGCGGCCGGTGCCGGCGGCGGGGGGGCGGGGAGGGGGCGCGCGGCGGCCATGGCGGCGCCGGGCGGCTGAGGCTCCGGTTCCGGTTCCGGTTCCGGTTCCCGCCTCGAGCCGGCCGCCGCCGCGGGGCGCTCCGCCGCGGCCATGGCGGCGGTGGCGGCGGGCGGCTCCAACTGGGGCCTCATCATGAACGTGGTCAACAGCATCGTGGGCGTGAGCGTCCTCACCGTGCCCTTCTGCTTCCGCCAGGTGCGGCCCGGCGGCGGCACCGGCTCCGGCTCCGGCACCGCGGGGGCTCCGGCACCGTGGGGGTACCGGGACCGTGGGGGTACCGGGACCGGCGGCGGGACCGGCAGGGGGCACCGGGACCAAGGGGGGGGGCGGGACCCACCAGGGGTACCGGAACCGGCAGGGGGTACCGGGACCATGGGGGTACCGGAACCGGTGGGGGGGGTACCGGGACCATGGGGGAGGGCGGGACTCACCAGGGGTACCGGGACCGGCGGCGGGGTGCCGGGACCTGGCAGTGGGACCGGCAGGGCGGTACCGGGACCAGTGGGGGGTACTGGGACCAGCCAGGGGCAGCAGAACCAGCGCAGGGGTGCAGGACCCGCCAGGGACACCGGGACCGGCAGGGGGTACCGGGACCGGCAGGGGGTACCGGGACAGGCCAAGGGGTGCCAGTGCCCCCCACCCACAGCCGTGTCCCCGTGTCCCGTCGCGGGGCTGACTCGGGAGCGGCGGCCGCGCCGGCGCGGGGGGCTCCTCGCGGCTCCCGCCCCGGCGACGCTGCCGGGGGCGCGGGGCTCTGCCGGGCAGGGCTCGTGGGCACGGGGGGCGCGGGGCTCTGCCGGGCAGGGCTCGTGGGCACGGGCGGCCCGCGGGCTCTGCAGCATCCGGGCCGCAACGGGGGGTCCCGTGGGCCCTGCGGAGCCGCCGGCCCGAGGGGGCGCCCGGGGGCCCGTGCCCGTCCCGGGCACCCAGCCCCGCGCGGGGCCGCAGCCCCGTGGGCAGCCCGGACACTTGTCCCAGATCCCTGAAATTGGGGAGTTTGGGCCCGGTTTGGTGCTCGGGCTGCAGAGGCGCCGCCGGCCGTGTGCCTGAACCTGCTGCGGGGCCGGGGTGGGAGCCGAGCGGGAGCCCTGGAGGCTGCGGCGCCGGGAGAAGGGGGCTCCCGTGGTGGGATTCTCCCGGCGCCGGGAGAAGGGGGCTCCCGTGGTGGGATTCTCCCGGCGCCGGGAGAAGGGGGCCCGTCCGGCGGGATTCTCCCGGCGGGACGCGCGGGGCGCCGCGGGGCCGCAAGGAGGGCATGAGAAGTGACTCACTTTCCATCTCCGCTTGTCTCCTCTCCCGCTGTGCTCCCCGCTTCCCAGTGCGGCATTGTCCTGGGAGCTCTGCTCCTCATTTTCTGTTCTTGGATGACTCACCAATCCTGCATGTTCCTGGTGAAATCGGCCAATCTCAGCAAGCGCAGGACCTACCCCGGCCTTGGTGAGAAGTTTCAGCGCTCGGGCTTGTGTGTGTTTTGCTTGTTTGTTTTTTGACTGCGGTTTTACTTTGACCTCTCAATTTACAACTTTCATACCGATATTGTTGGAATATAAAACGCTTTCTCGATGTAGTTTTCAATTTGTGTTTTGTTCCTCTGTCAGTCGCTTCCCGGCCCCACGTCCCCGGGGAGCGCGAGGGTTTAATTCTGCTCTTGACAGTGAAGTTAATAGGCGCAGAATTGTTTTGCCTCTGCAGGGCAGGGGAGGAGATGCGGCGCTGACTGATCAAAACCCAAGTTTTCAGGAGCTGGCGTAGCGGGTGTCTGGTGTAAATTATTGGTCTCAGCACGAAAGCCACGAGCTTCCCCACCCAGCGCGCTGCCGAGGACATTGGGTTCTGCCAGCAGCGAGCCTGGCATGGAGCTGGGGCTGCCTGGATCCCGGCTCGATGTGCATTTATGGCAGAGCAGGGGGAGCAGAGAGGAAGCAGTGTGCGAGCTCCAAGCGGCCAAGAAAATAAAAACATCTGCAAGATTCATGTGTGGGGTTTTGGCAGGCGCTGCCAGGCCTCTTCCTCGGAGCGCGTCTCCTGTGCGCTGGCGCCGCGCTCGCTCCGTGACCTCTCCGGTGCTGCCTGACTCGGGGGGCACGAGGGGCGGCCGCTGCGGGTCCCCTTGCTCGTCCCAAAGGGCTGCCCGCTGGGAATCTCGCCGGGATTCCCGGGCTGCCTTGCGGGCTGGCGTTGCGGTGGCCGCGGGCTCGGGGCTGGCTGCGTGCCGTGCCGTGGCGGCTGCTGGCGGGTGCACCCGTGGGTGCCCCCGGTGCCGGCCGCTTGGCTTGGGCCGGAACCCCCCGCCGGGAAAGCAGCGGGCGCCGTGAGCGGAGCCTGCAGGTAGCGGCCGCCGCGGCAGCTGCCTCCCCGCGGCCCACAAGGAGCCTTTGTGCGGCGCTTCCCCTCGCCCCGGCGGCGCCCCGCACCTTGGAGCGCCTCCCAGGAAGCCGGGATCCTCCGCGCCAAGGCGCCCCAGCACACGGAGGCCCCGGAATGCCGCCAAGCTTCCTGGCATGCTGGCACCCAGCGCGGCGCGGCCCCTTCCTCCCTCCCCTGGCCCTGGGAGAGGTGCCCCGGGAGGCGGCCGGGAGGAAAGGCAGCGCTCCTGCGGCGCATCCCAATGCTCCGAGGCCGAGCGGCTCCACACAGGCGGCCTTTGTCACCGGGTGCATCTGCGAGAGAGCCTGGCAGCCCCGGCAGCTCCTTCTGTGGGAGGCTTTGGCAGCGCTGAAAGACGTAAGAAAGTTTTGCAAATTAACTTCAGTCAGCCAGTGCCTTCCGGAGGAGCATTCAGAGCTGTCGTTACAGCTACAAAAGAGCCGGGATCGTAGCAGGCTAATATCTAGCCCAGACATCTCCTCTCGGCAGCACCGCGTGCACCGAGGGATGGGCTGTTAAAAATATTTTGCCCTTCAACACCTTCCAGCAGCGCTGCGTGGGGAAGAAGGGTCTCGGACAGATGTGCGAACAGGCAGGGGAAGAGGGCGCGATTCCGAGGTGGAATTTGAGCAGGAAAGGCATTGATGTCTCCCGGCCGAGGGCGGCCTGCGTGTGCGCGGGCTGTGGGGCTCGCGGGGCGCCCGGCTCTCGTGGGGCGCCTGCGGTGCTGGTGTCTCCGGTGTGCACCCGCCCCCGTTTGCTGCACCGCGGGCCCTCGCTCCGCTTCGGGCAAGAACATCCCGTTTCCTTGGGGCTCAGCCCTAGCAGAGGCCAAGGAGATGGGTGTCGAGGTCGATATCCCGCGCTGCCCGCCCGGGCAGCACCGCAGCGCCTGGGTGCTGCCTGGCTCCCTGCCTCCCTCGGCCGAGCAATGTGGTCTCCATTTGGAGCTCGAGGTCTCAATTCCCATTCTCTCTGGTAAGACAGAGCTAAAAATACAAGCAGAGTTTTCTTGGCATTTTCTTTTTATGAAAAAAACCCAGTGATTTAAAGACTACTGATCATTTTCTGCTACAAGCTACAACCAAAGTATGGAAAAAAGTTGTCTCTTGGCAGCAACCTTTTGGTGTGGGTTGCGAGTCCTGGGTATTCTGGGTACAGAATTGAACATTCTGGGCACCGTCTCAGCTCTCCCATCCAGCAACATCAGGCGGTTCACTTAGAGTGGGAAGATAAAAATAAAAACGAGAGTTTGATTGAAATTTTGTACTGCAGTAACTTTTTGCCACACAGCATCTTATACATGCATATTTTCTCTTCCGCGCTGACTTTCTTTTAATGGTTGCCATGTGTGACTGCTACTTCACACTACTTGAAAGAAAAGGAGAAGCAGGAAAAAAAAAGGAACCTGTTTTGTAGCTTTCCCTCATCTTTGTTCTCGTCTTCTGCGGCTTTCGAGGCGGGGAGGGCACGTCTGGGGAGGAAACTGGGAGGGTGGGCAAGGGAATCGACCCCAAAATAACTGCACCAGTGGGTTCCCGCTGACTTGCTGTTTGTCATTATTATTATTTAATTTGTAGCTGATATATGTGCTCCGTTCTGGGCCTTTGCTTCACTGACTACCATGTTTGTTTGTTTTCTTTTTGTCAGCATTTCACGCCTATGGAAAAGCAGGGAAAATGCTGGTGGAAACAAGGTAACGTGCTGCTTGCTTAAAGCTGGAGCAGTTTGGTTTTCTTTAACGAAAGGCTCTGCTCAGTGGCCCCTTGTGGCCTTGCTGTGCTCTCATTTCTTGCGCTCCCGTTTTCTCCGGTCCCCGAAGCCTCCCTTGCCACCTGGAATTGGAACGAGGAAGGGAAATGGGATCACTCCGTGTAGCTCCGTGTTTGGCCTCCGGTGCATCCCGATGCTTTCCGAGAGCCCCCGGAGCACTTGCAGGCCCGTGGGGCCGCACGGGGCACCCACACGTCCCTCTGCACCGCGGCACCTCCCCGCGCTGGGAAGGGCCTCGCGGGGAGGAATCCAAACCCCCTTCCCAGATTCCAGGCTCCAATTCCTTGCACAACCCCAGAGCAGGCAGAGAAGCCCAGGGCGGCCCCGCTGCACGGAGCCGGGCACCGGCACGGCCCGCTGCCCACGGCCCCGCTCTGCTCCCAGCTGCAGAATGCTAAAAATACACCCGATATTTCTCAAATGTTGCTTGTCCGTGCAGGCAATTGCTGTAATTGCCACAGGGATGTTATATAATTGGAAAGGGGAGGGAAAGTGATCCAGGCAGTCATGAATGAGAGGAGAAGCGGTTCATCAAACAAGCTTTTTATTCAAGAGTGGCTCATTTTGTGGAAGGGCGTTTGAGAGCTGATTTGGTATTGAGACTTTGGTGGTAGAGCCTCTCTGCAGGAGGGGGGGCCGAGAGACCTCTGGCTCATTCTCTCCTGCATTTTTCTGACAGGAAAGAAGAAAGCAGTTCTTGTCATCCCTAAGGGCTGTGCCTCCAAACAGTAGTTAAACCATCTCCAGCAAAGACACTGCATGTGCATAGAGCATCCTTGACTTCTATCACTGGCTACTAAACGTGTTTTCAACATGGAAACTTGGGCCTGTCTTAGCCATGATGTGCTGGAAAGTCCTGCCCAGTTGGAGGCTGGAAGTGCCCGCCCGGGAATGCGGGCGAACGGGGCTGCTTCACCCCTGGACTCGTGTGAGCAGGGGGCGGCTCTAAGACACTCCACAAATACCCTCTTAACTGTCCTATTAACTGTCCGTTTGACTTTCTGCAGTGCTCCTAGGTAAACGGGAGGATATTGCAGTAGGATTTCTCTTGATGGCTGTGTTTGTTTTTGCAGCATGATCGGGCTGATGCTGGGAACTTGCATTGCTTTCTATGTCGTGATTGGTGACCTGGGCTCCAACTTCTTTGCCCGGCTGCTTGGGTTTCAGGTAATGAATCCTCGCTCTGTTATATCAATACAGAAAATTACCCAAATTCTTCCTCTAAGTGTATTAAGCTATGAGTGTTTTAGATGCATCACAGAGTGTCCTGCCCTAGTATCATGTTCAGGAGACCACGAGGTGGCTTGGATCACCTTGCAGTGAGCATGAATGCTGTGCATCGTGCTCCATAAACCGCTGGAAGCCCCGGCTTGGGGTCCAATCCGCTGTGTAAGACCCCTCGAACAAAGGAATTCTTTTCAAATTGGTGTCTCTCAATTCTAGAGTGGTTTCCTGGAGCAGACGGTGCTTCCTGTGTCTTCTTCTCGTTCCTGTCTCATTCATAGAGCACGGTGGCAGACGGTTCCTCTGTCTGGGCTCTGCTCTTGCAGCCCTCTAGCTCAAGAGGGGCTTGTTGTGCCTCCCTCCTTGGTGTTTCGGTGGCCAGAGCTCTTGTGCACCAGCTTCCCCCTTAGCGCAGAAGGTGCCCAACGATGCCCGCGGCTTGGCCGGAGGCGCCGGCACGCTCCCGGTGTCCCCGTGGGCCGCGGGCGGCGGCTCGGAGCCGGGATGCAGGGAAGCGACATGGACGCGCCGACGGATTTGGCGGAGCCGTTATCTGCTCTGCCTGATGCTGCTAAGCTCTGATTAAGGAGCTGTGAAGTTAAAAAGATGCGTTGTGGCTGCAGCCAAATTAGGTATTAAATATTTCCAAGCATTTCGGAGTGTTCTGCTATAATAAATAGCAGTGTGAGTTTTGATTAATTTTCTGGATCAGAATTCTCAAGACTTCAACCTCTTGTTTCCGAAGTAAGTTTAGTTTTCATTTAACTGCATGAGGATACTTGAATGGCTCTGTTGGATTAGCATTTAAACACTCCCCCCACTCCCCTCCCCAATTCTTCCGCTTTGGAATGGACCTGTCACGCACTCTGTAGAGCAACAGTGGCACCCAGTGACTGTACGGGCTAATCACAGACCTAGCCAAAGAAAGGGCAAGCTCTCCGTCGTATTTTTTTTCTTAAACTATGTGTAGAAACAGAATTTTACATTCCAAATCTGTCCTGGTTTTGCATCCTTTCTCATTCCAGAAAATGAACCGCATCGGTGGGAGCTGTTCTGCTAATTCTGTCAGATGTTTTGTGTGTGCTCTGTGCTTCACTTCCTCACGCAGATCCCTTTTCCAGGTGTCTGGCAGCTTCCGCATCGTCCTGCTCTTCGCTGTCTCCCTGTGCATTGTTCTTCCCTTGAGCCTCCAGAGGAACATGATGGCTTCCATACAGTCCTTCAGTGCCATGGCTCTCATCTTTTACACTGTTTTCATGTTTGTGGTGAGTATTGATGCTGGGAACGCTCTTTTTTCCCTTGGGCTTATCCTGTGAGGACAGCCTGCAGGTGCAGGGCTCGAGTTCAAAGTGTTCTCTGTGGTCCCTCGTGCTGATGTGATGCGTAGGGGCTAATCGAGCTGCCCATTCGCTTCAGCTCGTGAAGGCAGAAATGTGCAGACCGTAGGAACTGAACATCGGGTTTCTCCTCAGCTACAGATTCTATAGGTCACGGTAACCAAATTGAGCTGTGCCTTACGCTGCTTCTTGGTGTCTTACATAGTTTAGGGCTCAGAGGTGAGTTATCATATATACACAGACGCACGCATATATATGTACTTATATACATGTATATTATCCATTAAAAACTTCAGAGCTTCCGACGTCTGCAGGGGAAGCTGATTCTTGTTAAGAACACAAGATTTGTGCTTTGCTACTTTGCCTGCTCTTCTGCAGCTGATTCTTCAGGCAGCAAGTGATTTTATTTCTCAGATACCAGTGCTCGTTTCTTGTGCACTGAAAGCTTCATAAAATCTGAGATCTGGCGCATAGGAGATATATATTTTAAATGGGAGAATTTCACTTTACTGAGATAAATGCATTCTTGACCATTTAGGTTAAACAGGGCAAGCTGGGCATTATCCAGAGCTTTCTCTGCCTGCCTTGGCCGACACACATTGTGTGGCACCGTTTCTGGTGGGGGAAACGTTCACTCGCCTCTCAGTGGCTTCACCGTTCACCTCTTGGCTGCTTGTGCAGCTCCGTCCCGGTCGTGTCCCCCTGATTCCAGGCCTAGGAGAATGGAAACCAAGGAAAGGCGGAGGCGGAGTGGAAATTCTCTCTGCACACCTTGTTTATTTTGGTTAGTAGGTTGTGCTGGGTCACGCTTTTGGGCTTTGCTGTGCAGCGAGGCTGGAAGCTGTAAACGAGCGTGTCTCAGACCCGCGGCGTTCCAGGAGCTGCGCCTTCCAGAAAACCACAGCCTTTCAGGAGAGCTGGCAGCACTCAAACCTAACCTCCAGGGATTAGAAACCCCCCATTCAGGCAGTATTCTAACCAGGCTTTCAGGCCTATTTACCTTCTGTTTCCTGTGCAGCCCAGCGCCTGCCGGTTTGCCTGTGCTGGGAGGGAGCTCTGCTCGCCCCGGGTGGGCGCTCTGCGCCCCTGGCTTGCGTGCGGTTCCTGCTCGCGTTGGGTGCAGCAGCCGTGGTTGTGCTTCTGCTGCAGCAGCGTGCAGGTGCAGGCCTTTTTTAGGAACCTTTGTCTCGCTCTGTTGAACAGGATTCTCCAACGGGGATGTCGTTTCCCTTTTGGTTTTAAAAAGGAAACAGTTAAATGTGCAAAAAAAAAAAAAAAAAAAAGAAAAAGGAAAATTGCTGAGAACAATAATCCCCACAGTCAAATGTGTCAGGGGAGATTGTTCCACCCTGGTGTGTGCTCTGATGTCTGATAGCCTTAAACAAGGTGGGGAGTGCCATATATCTTGTAAAATACACCCTAGGATCTGTGGTGGCGAGGGACCTATTGAGATTGCCGGGAGCTTTATTGGAGCGTGTGGGTGGCGAGGGGAATTGGGGAGTTTCTCTCGGATCAGGCTGTGATCTGCAGCGTGAGCTGTTCTCACAGGCCTGGCTCACCCTGCCTTTATCCCAGCGCTGCTGCTGTGCGGTCTGCTTGCCACGAGCTTGGTTTGGGTTGAATCTAACCCCTTTTGTTCCTCTCGGCTGCAGGTCGTTCTCTCCTCCTTCAAGCACGGCCTCTTCAGCGGGCAGTGGCTGCAGCGAGTTAGCTACACTCGCTGGGAGGGCATTTTTCGCTGCATCCCCATCTTCGGCATGTCCTTCGCCTGTCAGTCGTAAGTACCTGCTCTTACTGCTCCTGGCAGTTGTGGTTTGCCACGAGCCTTTGTGAGGGCAGAGGGGCAGGAGGGTCTGCATGGGATAGATACCACCTGGTTTCCTATTTTGTTGTAATCAAAGTATTTCACAGCCCGCTCAAGTACAGCGTCCCGTTCGGTTGTGACCCTTTGTTACCTAGGCAGGGGAGGGAGTTGTATTTCACTCGGGAGTTGTTGTATTTGGGCAACGTGAGATCAGTTGGGCCCAGCAGATCCTTAGCGTGATGCTCACTGCTGCTGGTACAGCTGCAGGAGTGATGGATTTCTCCCCTTGCTTGGAGGGAATGATTCAGTACCAGGAAAGACTAGGGGCTGTGTAGCCCCTAATGGCCACAGGGCTCCCGCAGGGCAGCGTGTGCCCGACGGTGCCTTAGTTGAGATTACAAGGAAATTTCAAAGCCGTTGCCTTTGGACGGGTGTTTGCAGCTTCCTGGGACGTGCCTTTCACAAGGGCTTCCTTTGCATGTGGGAGAAGGTGCTGGCAGCCTGGGCCACTCTCCTGGATTAGGACCTTCACCACCAAAACAGCAGTGAGCACGACGTGCCTGGCCGGAATAGGAGCAGACTTGAAATAGAAGTGTAAATCCAAACGCGGACGCGGAAAAGACCATCCTTGTTTGGAAGGCTGGCAGAGTCGGGCTTTCCCCCCTGTAGCTCTAGCAGTCGGGTTGCATGCCAACAGTAAATGAATGTGACAGATAAAATTTGTTCCGACTGCTGTGTTTACACCCACATGCAAGATCCAAATCATCATTTTCCACTTATCGGCTCTCTTGGCAGCTCGGTTCCTGCCCGAACGCGCTCCGGTCGTGCTGTTTAATGTCTCCATTACAACTGGCAAAGGGAGTTGTATTCTTTTGCAGCTTTACCTTATTAACATTTTAGAGTTTGAAAATTCCCAAATTTTCCCTTTTCTTTGGCAGCCACATAGTACCCAGCACAATTTTGCTGAGAGTTGGAAGTGCAGGGAAATCATTTGGTCTGGACCAGTGTGCCCGGGCCTAAATATAGACTCCATTACGGCACTTACGTGGCAAGCCAAACCTCGCTCTGCGTGTTTCTTTTCCAAGCGTTGGAGCAATATGCTGTCCCCAGACCAGGCAATCTTTACAAGTATGTTATTCTCAGCTAGGTAGGTTTAATTTTGCTAACCTCCGAACCGCTTTTTAGAAAATAAATAGTTCTAACATAAAACAGAAATTCTTCTGCTTCTGCACGTAAATGCAGCATACGTCGAGGACAAACAAATGTGCTATTTTTCTCGTAGCTTAAAATCCAACCCGCTTTGCTCCCGAGTTCCCTACCCTTGGCTCCTTAAAGCCCGGCTGTGTTGCTGAGCTTGCAGAGCAGGTCAGCCCGTCCCGGTGCGAGGCACGGCCGCTTGCTGCGGAGCTGAGAACGGGGCCCGCAGGGCTCCCCCCGCCGCACAGCTCCCTGTTCACCGGCACCTTATTCCCGGCTCTTGGTGCTTGGGCTGACTGGGCTGCTTCTCCGTTTGGGAATAGGGGCATGACTTGAGTCCCTGCGCGCTCGCTGAGGTGCTGCTGTTAGGATACACGCAGTGCAGCAGGTAACGCGTGACAGCACCAGGGAACACCCCCGGGCCTTTGCTGGCCCTCGGCACAGCCGCTTTGCTAAAGCAGAAACCCCGCGGCCGTCGGGACGCGCTGCCCGTTCCGTGCCCCCGGCCCTGCCTCGAGAGCCTTCCCGGCCCCGCCGAGCCCGTCGGCTCTCCGAGCTGCTCCGAGCATCCTTCGTGCAGAGCCGTTGCGGTTGGGGCACTGAGGCTCGGGGGCTTTTCAGCTCAGTCTCAGCTTGCCCCGCTTTCTGCTGGTGGCTTTTTGCCCCCCAGGGCTGGGGATACCCCTGCCCTGCTCCCGGGATCGTCCGCTGGAGTAACTGCAGCAACGTGAAGCCAGGATGCGGCCGCTTGAATCGGAGTAACAAGAGGTTAATGAGTCGCTAAAGTATGCACCTGATGTCAAAAAGTGCATTCTGCAGGCTTTCCAAGTCTGTAAATACCCCAAATCCCGAGTAATTGGCGCTCCCAGCTTTCTATGAACGGAGCCCGAGCAGCAGCGCTGAAATATGACAGGCGCTGCGTTGAGTTTTGTTTGTTTAACTTTTCTTTTAGACAGTGTGATGCTCTAACCCTCTTCCTGCTTTTACTCTGTAAACACTGCGTTGCTTTAATTATCAGCATAGAGAGCTCCAAGAACAATAATCTCCAATGTGCTGCCTGGCCTGGTGCCACTGGTGTTTCAGTGGAACAAATGGTCATTCATTTTGCAACACTTTTGAACCAAAATGTTTACATCACACGTTGAGCTCCACGTGGTGGGGTGGGGAGAGCAGGAATATTTTTGCAACACTTAAAGTTATGAGTGTTCTGAAATCTCTTGGCATTAGCAATATAAATTGTGGAATTGCAGCGAGTGTTTATGTGCTATAGGGGGAAGGTGTCAGGGATTTTTTGCTGCTGGGCTGAGGCAGGGAATGTGCTTGAGCTGGGTTTTGCTTGCTCTCAGTGGAAAGTTTCCTCAGACAATTTACCTTTTTCTCCAGTCAGGTCCTGCCTACCTATGACAGCTTGGACGAGCCATCTGTTAAAATCATGAGCTCCATATTTGCTTTTTCCCTAAATGTGGTCACCACCTTTTATATTACGGTGAGAAATCTCCCCTTTTCCCTCCTTGCCCCTCCAGAGCAATAGCCCTGACAGTTTCCCTGTGCCTGGGGCTGCTTCCTGGTATCCTGAAAGGTAAGTTGTTTTGCTGAAAGCCAAATGAGGAGGGAGGCGACGCTGTGAGCAGCGCAGGGGCGCGGGGCCCGGGTGCTCGGCCTCCTCGGAGGCCCAGCCTCGTGCTCCGCAGCCTGGAGGCTGCCGCCCGGCCCCACGCGGGGTCCAGGAGGGCTCCGTTTTGGCTTGCTGCAGTTGGAAGGATGTGGAGGAAGTTATGCGTCATAAAGCACCACTAAATAAAACAGTTAATTCCTGCGCCTCCTGGCCCTGCGAGCGAGGCTGCTGCTGTAGCTGTTACGGCTCCTGGCTGCCGGAGCTGGGTCTGTGGGGCTGGCAGGCGGCGCAGGGTCACCGCAGTGACCGTGTCCCTCATGGAAGTCCCCTCTGTTTCGCAAGAAACTTGCCTTTCTTTTAGGAAGGACTCACGGTTCTTTAGCTGTCCCTCTGAGGTTTTGGAAGTGTCGCAGCTGTGGCCCCTGGAGGGTCTGTGGAGGCTGCCCCATGGCTGGTTTTAACTCGGGGGACTGTGATCCACTCCAGCCTTTCCAAGGGAACACGTGTGGTAGGAATGGGCCTGGGAAAGGCCTCCGTGCGCTCACGTCCCCTCCTGTGCACAGGTTGGCTTCTTCGGCTACGTGAGCTACACCGAAGCCATCGCCGGCAACGTGCTCATGAACTTCCCTTCCAACCTCGTGACGGAGATGATCCGCGTGGGATTCATGATGTCCGTGGCAGTGGGGTTTCCCATGATGATTCTGCCCTGCAGGCAGGCGCTGAACACCCTTCTCTTTGAGCAGCAGGTAAGATGCTCTTGCGTGGAGACAGGCAATGGGCTGCCTCGGGGTGCATCTTGGAAACTCCCTTCTGGAAGGGCTTTGGTGACTCCCTGCCTTCAGCTGCTGGCCGGTGACTTTGGTTATAAAGTGGCTCCCTGCGACTCCGCTCGCAGCAGCCCGTGTCTGGCTCGTGGTGGATGCTCCCTGTTCAGAGGGATGGACTGCAGCTCGCAGCGAAGCGGCGAGTGTTTGTGTGCGGCAACGGAGCAGCAGGAGGCCCGTGGCACCCGTAGGTCCCCTGCAGAACGGTTCATGTGTGCTGCTCCGAGCTGCTCCCCTCTGCGGAGGCCTTTGTGGGCAGGAGTGCCAGGGCTGTGAGCTGGCACCGCTGTTCCCTCGCCCGGGACACGCGGCTCTGCAGGAACTCAGGCTCTCGCTCCCCGCTCTTGGGCAGCCTGGAGCTCAGGTGCTTCTCCCTTTCGGCAGCAGAAAGCAACATGGTTTTAGAAACAGAGGAGCCTCCTTGTTTCCCACTGCTCTGACTGGAATCCTTCCGCTGACCGACTCGGTCTTGCTTCGAGCGGAGCTCTAGCTTCTGTTCCTGGCCTCGGAGCCAGGTTCATTGCTTCCTGCTTCCATGTGCTTGCTCATTTCTCCTCTTATCCCAACCTTTGCACCTTCCTGGCCGTTTTCCCAAACAGCCTCCACTCAGGATGATGTCCCCGGGGCCGCCCTGGGATCCCTGTGTCCCACAGGGTCACCTTTCCCAGGGTCACATCTTCAGACGGCCTTTGTGACTGTAGTGGGTCTGTGTGATTGAGACTGTGGGTCCCTTGTGGCGGCAGCGCGCTCTGCTCTGTGCATTGTGCGGCAGCGAGCACGCCGACGGGATTCAGCAAATAACAGTAAGAGATTGTGGGAATGTTCTGAGCCCTTTGTGTATCCGCATAAATAGAAACCTCTTAGGGCAGGAAATAAAACTCGAGCAATTTATAGCTCTAAATCCTGCCACTTCTGCCTGTGAGAAGCCCCCGGCTCTTTTCTCACGTCGGGAGGGCCTGGGGATGGGGAAGGGCTGTGGGTGGAGGCAGCGGGTGCTGCAGGGGAAGCCTCAGGAGAGGTGCCGGTTCTCGCTCGTCGCCCCTCGGTTCTGAGCGTGTTTCGTGGCTCCCGGTGCCCGTCGGTGCGGGCAGGAGCTGCGGGTTCCCCAGGCCTGTAGGTTCCCTGGGCCCCTGCTCCCCGGCCAGGGGAGCGTGGGGACGGGACGGCCTTGGTGCCCTGTGAAGCCGGGGGTGACCCGCAGGGTGGCAGCTGGGGAGCGCTTTGCTGCAGGGCACACAGAGCTCCTTCCCCTCGGTGCCTTCTTCGTGCCCTCGGCTCTGGGGCCGGTGGCAGCAGCAGCCCTGGCTGGAGGGTCTGACCGCAGCTGGGCCCTCCACGCTTGGGACGGGGTGGGAACAGCAGCCTGGGCTTCGGGCCTCCCCTTTGGCCGCGGTTTGAAGGTCCGGGCTGTGGTTTCCTACGGGGGCTGCCCAGCCCCGTCTAGCTGCCCCTCTAGCCAAGACCTGCCCCAGCTCGGGCTCCTTGGTGGCAGAGGCTGCTGGCTCATTGCTTTTGAACCGTGCGGGTGCAAAGCAGGGGCTGAATTCTTCTTCTCTTCCAGCAAAAAGACGGTACCTTTGCTGCGGGCGGTTACATGCCCCCGCTTCGGTTTAAAGCCCTCACGCTGGCCGTTGTCTTTGGAACCATGGTAGGAGGCATCATGATCCCCAACGGTGAGTGAGGGGCTGGGGACGGCGCTCGGTGACGCGGCTGGTGCTGCGCGGTGGCGCCGGGCAGCGCTCCGGTCCCGCGGGCCCGCGCCGCGGTCACCCCGGGCACCGCACGAGGACCCTGCTGACTTCTCGTTCTCTCTGCCAGTGGAAACAGTCCTGGGCCTCACAGGTGCCACCATGGGGAGCCTCATCTGCTTTATCTGCCCGGCTCTCATTTACAAGAAGATCCACAAGAACGCGCTTTGCTCGCAGGTCAGTGCTCGTGCGATGCCGCATCCCCTGAGCCCTCTGCGGAGCCTGGGAACGAGCTCCCTTTGGCTGCAGCTGGGAGACTTCCCGGCAGCTTTTCCAGCCCCTTCCCGCCCCGGTGGGAAGCGCTGGCTTGTGGAGGGGCTGCCCCGGGCTGGCGGAGCCCTTAACGCAGGAAACGCCGTTCCCAGCCCCTCCGGTGGGATGAGGGGCGAACAGGAAACCCAGGAGCGAATAATCCTGGCACCGCAGCCTGCCCGGGCTGCGTGGAGCAAGCAGGGCTGCTCTGTGGTGTGCTTCTCACTGTTGACTCTCGGCTTTCTGGTTTCAACCAAAATAACAATAAAAAGGAACACACACACGGAGGTGGTGCTTCAGGAGCCGAGTTTTAAGAAATCGGGGTTGTTGGGAGGCTGTCGGAAGTTCAGCTTTCCCTTTTGCTCTCGTTTGAGTTGGCCTCCTCAGGGCCTGCAACAAGGTGCCTCTGCTAGGCTCGAGCTCTCTGGTGTTGCAGAGTTTTTGCAAGTGCTCCGTTCGTGCAAGCGCTTTGCGAGAACTGTGTTTTCTCAGAGCCGAAACGAGCCAGTTCTGTCGTTTCTACCACTAACTGGGTCGGTGGCCTTGCAGCGGGCCGCTCTGCCGGTACCGGTACCAGCCGAAGGCTTTCGGCAGGCGGTGAAGTCGGCAGCGGGACACCGGGACGTCTCTGTGGGTCCCACTGAACTAACGGCTGCTTCTGTGTTTAATGGCTTGCGGGTTTGCGAATGTACATGAAGTTTTTAAGCAGGGTGTATTTTTTTCTTTCCCTGTGCTTTCTCCAGCACAAGGAAATAGTCCAACTTTCCAGCTTTCACGCTGAATTCTGACGCTTTGCTCCTGACTTCCTTGACTGAAACCCTGAGCAGGGGCCTGAATGCCAGCCTGGGTTTTTCAGGGAAACAAAGAGCACTTTCAAGAATCGCTTTCTATTCCGGCTGAGCCCAAACGCTGCTCCGCAGCGCCTCGAAACTGAGCTTGGGATGTGCCCAGAGGCAGCGGCCAGAGCCGCAGGTGGAGAGCGGGGCCCTCCCCGTGCAGGCCTGGAGCGCTGCTCCCGACCCGGGCGAGGGGGATGTTTGTCCTGCCGAAATCCCCGGCGAGGATCGCGCCTTATCGGAGGCATCAGCCCCGCGGTCCCCGGCGCTGCCAGCGAGCTGTGCGGCGCTCTCTGGGTGATGCATGGCCTGTCAGGCCGGCATACCTGCCTTGACTGATGCTGCAGCGGGGCACAGCTGCCCCGCCGTGCACGCTGCCCTGCCCGCGCTCGCAGGCTGCATTCGGGGCCCTCCCTCCTCTTGCTGCTGCAGAGACTCGTTTATTCCTTCCCTGCAGCTCTGTCTTTGGCCTCCTCCTCCTTTCCTGCTCTCTTTGATCAGGCACTCCATCAAGAGGTGCTCCCGTGGAAAGGGAGAGGGGAGAAGGGGCCAGCTCTGCGCTCCGTCCCTGCCTGCCTTGCCCTGCCTAAACAGCATACGTGTCTTAATCCTTAAACTTGCTGCCGAGCATTGACCTTCTTGCCTGCCGCTCTCCCAAGTTCTCCCCTCCAGCCTGCAGGAATTATCTTGCCTCTTCCAGGGGTTTTCCATGCGCAGGTGAGAGCTGCCTGGTCTGTTCAGCTACTGTGCGGCAATGGGCACCTTACGGGGTGGCCATAGGGGAAGGTCAGTGTCACGGAGCTGGAAAGATGGTCTAAGTTTGGGTTAAAAACAGGAGAAGCGTTGAAATAGTGAGGAGTTAAGGAGCTTAAATCCAGGTATCCAGAGCTGGGCATGAGGCGGGGGAGAAGCCCCTCTGTGTGGCTGGCGTGGAGCGTGTCCTGTGGAGGTGCAGGGCCAAATCCAGCGCCCCGCGGGAGCCTCGAGCTTGGCCAGCCCCATGGAAGGTCGCCCGGAGGGCTGGGAACAGGCGTGGACTCCTGGCAGGAAGGTGTGGGCATCCCACTGCAGACACGAGCCTGTCCAAGAGGCCCCTCCTAGGCGGAGCGTGAGTTGCTGCGGTCCCAGGTGGGAAGAGGAGCCGCGGAGAGGTCGGGAGCTGCCCCTGTCGCGGTGCTCGCGTGGGGACGGGAGGGGAGAGCCCCTGTCCCGGGCTCACGGGGGTCCACGGCACCCCGGCCGCAGCGAGGCAGCCAGCGCGCTCCTGCGATCCCTCGGGATCGCTGTGTCCCGAGGAGCATGGCACGGGAATGCCGCCACGCCGGACAAACGCAGCCTTCATTCCTGCCGCCAGCCCAGGAGGCGAGGAGAGGAGACAGCCGCAGCTGAGGACACTACTGCACAAAGTTCAAGCCCTCTTCTGGGAGGAAGGATGACCGAGGGAGAGCAACCAGCGGAGGAAGCGGACGTGCACAATTCCGTTCCAGAATTCCTGCCTGCGCTTGGATGCTCCTCCCGGGAGACGGGCCTCTTGCCTTGCTGACCTGTGCATGAGGAGAGGCTGCAGCAGAGGTGTCCATGTCCAGAGGGGCCCCTGGAGAAAGGTCTCTGCTCCCGTCCGGGGCTGCGGGGGCGGCTCTTCCTGCTGAGGCAGCTTTGCTGCGCTCCGCCTGGCTCCGGGAAGGCTGCGCAGCCCAAGGAGCTGCAGGATGGAGAACAACAAAAACCTCTTTTAAGGCTCCTAGTGCTGGGAGCTGAGCTCTGGCAGCAGGAGCCTTCCGAAATAATGAGTTCACTCTCAGCCTGAGAGCGGCCTTTGCTCCAAGCCGCTGCCCTGTGTGCGCGGAGGCTTCAACCCGCGCGTGCCGCATGGTGCTGCAGCCCCTGCCCTTCTCCTCGCGCCCCTGCTCTGCTCTTGGGCCGCGCTGCTGGGGCTGGGGGCTCCTCTGCCCGCCCTGGGTTTCCGGAGCCGCCCGGGCTCAGCCGGCATTCCCGCTCCTCCGCCTGCTGGCCATCGGCCTCGGAGCCCCCGAGCACAAGCTGCCTGTTCTTGCGTGTCAGGGCATCTCCGTGGAATTTGGCCGGATCGCGGCGCCCGGGGCCGGGCCGCGGCTGCTGGGGTGGGTGAGAGCGGGCGGCTGCCCGGGCTGCCTCCGAGCAGCCTGCACGTGAGCCCCGAACGTTCAGCAGTCCAAGGGCTTCCCAATCCAAGATGTTCAGCTCTGTGGTTCCCCGCTAAGGGTTAGATAAGAAACAACAAAAATCCACTTAACACATTTCACGTTTTCAGCTGTTTCCTACAGTTCCCTTCTCTCCCCCGTGGCTCCTAGTTCCTGCAGCCCCAGAACAGACCCTCTCTGTGGAAACGCCTTTCCTCTCCGTGTTCCTGGAAGGGCTCGCACGGCCTGCTAGCCACAAAACCCGTTTCTGCAGGGACTGGGCTGCTGCGAGGAAGGAAGCAGCGAGCTGCGGGCCGGGGCCGAGATGTGCTGACCGCGCTGCGGCCTGGCCAGCGCCGCGGGATGTCGGCCGCTGTCCGCGCGGCCCGCACCGCCTTGTGGTGGCCGTTCCTTTCAGCATCCCTGGGATGTGGCCCGTGCTCCCTGCGCGTCCCGCCGGCCCTGCCTGCCTCCCTGCCCGCCGGGGCTGCCAGGGAAGGGGCTCTGCGGGGCCGCGCTCGCCGGCGCTGCCGCCCCGTGCAAGAGGGAGAGCAAAACGTTGGCTTCTTGTCGCCCCGGGGTGCCAGCACCTCCACCTCCGCATCCAGTCTTGTTTCCTGTGTTTCCTGTCCCTAGTCCTGCAGTCGTTCCTGTTTTTCTCTGGAGTGCTGAGTTGTGTCCCTTTGTCGCGCTGGGTTAATCGGTTCTTAAACGTTGCAGGACGGGGCTTTTGCAGGAGCGGGGAGCCCCAGGACATGGTCCTTGTACCCCTGGCACCGCGGCACGAATCAGAAGGACCTGGGCACTCTGCATTGAACCTCTCCCAGAGGGGACAGGCAGCTCCGTGGTTGACTTCCATGGGACAGCAACACTGTCTTGGAGCAAGGAAGGGGCTTCCTTTTGCAGGTCGAGGCTTTGAAGTGACTGGCTCTGGAGCAGGCAGGGCAAGTTGTTCCCGTTGGGCACGTGGGGAGAAAAGCAGCGTCCTCCGTGCACGAGCCTGCAGCCAGCAGGCACCGAGCAGGACGGAGCCGGGAAGAGCCGAGTGGAGGAAAGGGACAACGCAGCTCCTGGCCTCGGAGCAGCAGAAAGGAGCCGGAGCGCGGCGGAGCAGGATGTGCTTAAAAGGAAAAGCAATTCCTGCATAACGAATAGCAGTCTTTTGCCAGCGTTGGGCTTCTCGGCTTTGCAGCGACGCTCGGTTTGGCGTGGGATCATTCCTGTTGCTCGCGTGGCCTCGTGCACCTTTGTGCGGAGAAGCTTGCGGGGAGACCTGGGGCGCTGGGGAGGGCGCAGCTGCTTTGTGCGCCGTCTCCAACGCGGCGATTCTGCGACCAGCCTTTCACAGCACTGTAGAGTCGTTGAGTGCAGCCCAGGTTCCACGAGAAGCCCTTACTGTGACAATTGCTGTGATTAACTAGGTAAAAATAATATATGGGAGCTTAAGTGTTGCCAGTGGGTGTTGTGAGCCCACGGCCCATCCCCTCGGCCCTTTGCTGGGGCAGCAGCCAGGCCTGGGCAGCTGTGCCACGCGGGCAGTGAGTCCTGTGCCCGTGTTGCTCCTGCGCGCCCTCCTGCTCGTCCTTCCTGCGTTGTCCCGTGAAATGCCAGCACTTCCAGGGAGTTCTTTAAAAATCAGAGGTGTAGATCTTCTTATTCTCTTGTAGAATTAGATCCTGTGGGGTTTTTTTTTTTTGTCTTTTCACAATGACAGAATTAGAAATGTGCCTTTTGGTGGTGTTTTCCTTTCTAAGTTATAGAACTTGAGAGTTCTTCCCTTCTCAGGATACGGATTCCATCCTTTTTTTTTTTTTTCTTCCCCTATTTGGTCTCAGCTCTTTGGAAATCAGCAGGTTGCTTCTTATCGGCTTCTCGGGCACTAACCACGAGGACCCTGTGAAGGTCTTGTTCTCAAAAATAAGATTTTATAAACAATTCACTAGAAACATGGCTAGGCCGTAAGCAGATCAGGCTGCTGTTCTCAGCTGCATCTGCTGTAGCCGCTGAAAAATACCAGGGAATGAGTCTTTGCAGCTGGACCCTTGTCTACCAGGTGCATTTTACTGTTCCTATTCCTTGCCCCCACTTGCTTCCGAGCCCTTCGGAGAGAGGAGTCGTCTTTTCAACAGCTTCCAGCATCTGAAGTTATTGCTTGCTCGTATCTACATCCAAACACAAGCCTCGGCCAAGAGCTACTGTTGCTTCCCTTCCACCTCTTCAAATTCTCCGCGGTCGCGTCTCTTGCGGCCGCGTGCAAGAGCCCCGGGGCTGTTTGGAGGTGCTGCTGGGTGCAGGGCAGCGCCGCTCGGCTCGCGGTGTTAACGATGCCCTGCTGCCCCGTGCAGATGATACTGTGGATCGGCCTGGGAATGCTGGTCATCAGCACGTACACCACGCTGACCGCCACAGAGGACACCCCTGCGAGGACGGACGCCGTGGGACTGGAGCGCCTGGAAGGGGAGGAGACCAGGATGGACCCGGATTCGGTCAAAATGCCAGGTATGTGTCCGAGACCCCCACGCCAGAGCCTGGTCTCTGCGGGGAACAAGCCCTGTGCTGGAAGCAGAGTTGTTTCCAGGCATCTCCGTGCGTCTGTAGAGCATCCCAGAAGCTTTTCCCAAGAAAAAGATGTGGCTTTGCCTTCTGGAAAGGCCTGGTGGCATCTCCGAGGGTGTCCTTAAGAAAGGAGGGTCCCTGGGTTGGCTGGGACCCCTCTAATGACAGAGCAGAGAGGTGCCCGTGGGGCCACCCCAAGCCCTGTGCCCGCCACCCATGCGCCCTTCCTGCCCGCGCCTCTGCTAACCAGCCCTTTGCTGCGCTCCAAGGTATGTAAATTTATGGGCGCTGAGGTTTTTTTTGGTGGTGAGGACATAAATTTGGGGTTGGTTTTAGCTCTGACAAAGCCTGTGATTACGCCTCAGCTTTGTTTACTGGCTCGCGTTATTTATTATTTGTTTACTGTGGCCGCTGATAGAATTACGGCCGAGGCCTCCCTTGCCCAGCTGCAGGCTCGCCGTGCAAGGCCATCGCTAGCAGGTGTCGCCTGACCCTGGGCTGCCCCTCATCTCTGTCCTGCCTCTTTATGTTATTTTGCTTTGGTTCTGCCCGGGGGTTTTGTTCTTTGCGGGGCCTTGAAATATCCTCGCCGAGATAGCGAACGGAAGCGAGAGAAGGGCTGTTTCTCCTGGAGATTATCCTCCTCCAGCTCCTGGCCGGGTTCCTGCCCAGCAGATCCGAGTGTCCCCGAGACCCCAGTGCTGTCTCCAATAATGTTCGGAGCTGCCGGGCTGCTCCGTGCCCACGGTGGGTTTTGTGCCTTGGCTCTAAGCGCTTCCACGGTGCCCTCTGCGGTGCCCGTGCGCTCGGAGCAGAGAGATGCCCCCATCCCCGCATGGTGCGCGCCTGGCAGGCCCGGGAGGAGGGATGCGGTGGGATTCTTCCGTCTCGGTTAATTTTGGAGCCGTAATGGCCAGAGAACAGCTGCGCGTTTCGGGAGGGGGTGCTGCCCACACGTGTGCTGCGGGCTGGGAAAGAAAGAGGTTCCAGAAAAGACGGTGCCCGCTGGAGCTGCTGAACCCGCTGTCCGCGGGGGCCGCGCGGCGGAGCGGGAGGCCCGGGTTTAACCCCCGCGCGCTCGGCGGCCTCGGCCCCGCGCCCTCCTCCTGGGTGAGATGATCCCACCTCGAGGCAGGCGCTGCCGGTGCTGCCGCCCCGGTGCCGGCCGCGCTCCCGGGCACCTTCCTGGTGCAGCCTCCGCTTCCCGCCCCGTGCACTGGAGCCGCTGTGCCCTGGGAAGCGGAGCCAGGCTCGGAGCCTCGTCCTGCAGCGGGGCTTGGGCCCCTTCCCGCGTTTTCCTGGCGCTTTCCCATGTTTCCCTGGCCCGTGGGCGGCTTTGGGCACTCTGGAGGGTCAGCCAGCAGAACCGGGGGCTCCCTTTGCAGCCCCGCGATGGGGAACGTTGGAGCAGAGCCCCTGCGTGCGGCTGCGCGTGGAGCAGCGCCGAGGGGCCGCCTGCGAGAGCGCAGCAAGGCAATTATCCATTTAAAAAAAAAAAAGCTAATTAGGCAATTTCTCTCTGTATGCGAAAGCACCCTCGAGGGCCTCACGGGGCGGATTAAGGTTTTGTAATATTTTTCGGCTCCTTACTCGATGGTTGGTGCTTCGCTTTCCCCTTGCATCGTACGACCTCCGCTACCGAGGCCGCGGTTGGGGCGCCCGCGCGTGGGGCCCCGTTGGCAGCAGCGGGGGGCAGCTGTTAATAGCGCCCGTGGCACAGAAAGGGACCCGCGGCCGCGTCCTCGGGGTCCGCCCGTACCCCGGGAGGCAGCTGCGAGCTCCTTTCGGGAATGCCGTTCGGTGACCTGGCGGAATGCGGAGCCGCTTGGGCCGCTGCGGGCAGGCGGCTCGGCGGGAAGGGCCGCGCGCCCGGGCACGGGCAGAGCCCTGCGGCAGCACGGGGGGACGGCGCCGCGGCCCCTAACCCGCTCCGGACACGGCCCGCGGCGCCTCCGAGCTCCTCGGCACGCAATCGCGGCCGTTTGGGATCCCAGCTTAGAGGGAGCTGAGGCACCTGCAGTGTCAGACTGTAGTGTCCCGTGTCCTTTCACATGCTAGCAGTGGAGACCTCGTTGTGCACACAGGTGTAGCCAGGAAATGGTTTCTTTTCCAGCCTTCTTTTCCAAACAAGGTGTGTGTCCTGCAGGCGCAGGAGCAGCGATTTGCCTCCAAGGCGAAGAAGGGCCAGGGCGGCTCTACCAGCGCTGCGCCAGGGAGCTCTGGCGGCCTCTCCGTGCCTGCTGTAAAGTCCAGCGCTGCTCCTAAAACATGAGGGGACACAGCCCTGGGCGCCTGCAGCCTTTATTGCACATCCTGCGCAAAGCTGTGCTCTGCGAACCGCACACAGCCCCTTACAGATTTCCATGCAGCTTGAGAGGCCGTTAATTCACGCCCCGATGATGAACTTAATTTTGTTTCCTGCTGAGCAAATGACGGCTCGGAGGCAACTTTGCCTTATTATGGTGCGGAGGTTTGGGCTTTGTTTGGGTTTTGCTTCTGTCTCCTCGCGCATTGTTTTCGAGAGGCGGCTCGCGCTGTGATTGATGCTTCCCGGGGTGGGAGGCCGCCGAGTCTCCGTCCTTGGAGATGCTCTGGACACGATCGTGTGCCGGGCTCGGGGCTGGGCTGCTGGGTGGGCTCCAGGGGGCCCTTCCATGGTGCTGGGCACGGGATCTCCCCCAGGGACTTGGTGTCTCCCCCAGGGACTTGGTGCCTCCTGGCTCCGTGGTGGCTTCGCCCACCACCCCGTGCACGTTGGACGGGGTCCCCTGGGAGACAGAGGAGCTTCTGCTGCTTCTGCTTTCCCGTGTGCATGGCGAGCGCCTCACTGGTCTCTTGCTCTTGAACAGCATCGTGTTGCTGGGTGGCCTCTGCGGTTCCTGGCTGTGCTGGGACTCCGGGTCCCTCTGCTCCGGGGTCCCGGGGGCGCCTCTGAGCGTGGCCGCCTCCTGCAGCAACGCCCGTCACTTGTGGCCGTGAAGCCAAACTTCAGCTGGGCACAGCCAGGCACCCCCTCCCCAGGACTCGCATCCCCTCCCCAGGGCCCTTCCCGACTCGCGGAGCTCCGCGCGCTCCCTCCGTGAGCAGAGACCCGCGGGCGCTAGCCGGGAATTGCACGGAAAATCCAGGCTCTTTCCCCTCGCGTCATCGGGGGTGAAGCCAAGGAGCCGGGCGCAGCACTCGAGGCCAGAGATTCCAGGTTCCTGGACAAGCGCTGGGTAGTTCTGGCACTGCTCCCTCTGGGCCAGGATTTCGTTCTCCTTTTTCCCAACTTGGGTAAGGCCCACGCAGCTGAAGCTGTGGCAAGCCCTTCTTTCCCATGAGTTCATCTTGTAATAAATCGCACCAGCCCTGCAGAGGGGGAGGAGAAAATTGAAAGATGTTTATAGACTTAATTCCCCAAAGGAAATCGCATGGGGGAGGACAAACGGGGGGAAGAGTTGGGAATTTTTTTCATTTTGTCGGAGGAGATGCATTTTTTGAGTTTGCTGGATGGAAAACAAGCCGCAGTGCAGCTCAGTGCTGGGAACCCGTTCGCTCTCCTCGGCTGCTTTCCTGCTGCGGGCGACGTGGAGGTCGGGGAGCCGGGTGTCCGATCCCAAGCAACAAGCTGGGAATTCTGCCTGGATACCCCTGGCTGAGCCCAGCTGCGCGTTTCACTGAGATGTGTCGTGCAGAAACACCCGGTTTCTTAAGTAAGAAACCATGAGATTTCCCCCATGTGGCTTGGGAGTTTGTTCCAGCGGTTGTTCGATGGCACTGCGGAAACTTGGTGCCTCTCCCGGGCTGTGCAGCTCTCCTTCCTCCCTCGTTTGACCATCCTGGAGCAAATGCCCTTGCACAGAAAGGGGAGAGGGGAAAGGCCAAAGCAAGACCCTGAGCTGTCCCCGGGCAGGGCAGCAGGGCTCTGGTGGTGGCTCCGGGTCCCTCTCCTGCCCTGCTCCGGGTCCCTGTCCCGCCTTGCTCCGTGCTCGGAGCCGGAGCCCGGGTCGCTGCTACCACCTGGCGGCTCCGGCTGCAGCGGCGCGATTCCCTCCCGCGGCACCAGCGCCAGGAAAACTGCCCGGGGGGAAAGGGCCAGAGCAGCCGCCCACAGCTGCCCCCGGCCTCCAAACGCAGGCAAAAGCAACGGGAACCCGCGCTCGCCTTGGACAACGGGGTTGCGGCAGGCGGAGAGGTTTGGTGGGTGGACAGCGCAGCCGTGTGTGACCCCGTCCCGTAACCGTCCTGCTTTTGCAGACCAGAAGCCGGTGGTCGAGGAGCCAGAGGACGACCGTGACAAACCAAAGCTGCTGGACGAGAAGGAGGAGATGGAGCAGCCGCAGATCAAGGTGCCCATGGAGGTGCCCGAGAGAGATGAGGAAGGGGAGAAGCTACAGGAGCAGGTGCAGCTTGACCGCCCTGACCAAGGTAAAACGGCGTCTGGGGAAAGGGCGTCAGCTTTGGGGTGGGGAGGTGTATTTTAAAGCAAGGCCTATAGCGTTATTTAAGGAAAGACCCCAATCTGCCGTTCACCCTGTGCTCTGGGCAAGGCTTAGCGGGTGCTGCTCATGTCAGCGAGGCAGCCTGCGCGTGGGGAAGCGGCTGCAGCCGCTGGGACGGGCGGGTGACACGGGGGCCCCCTGCGCGGAGCCCCCTGACGCTGCCTGCCCCCAGGCATCGCCCTGCCCGTCGGGGAGGCCCATCGGCACGAGCCGCCCGTCCCGCACGACAGAGTCATCGTCGACATGGGCCGCGAGCGGGAGGAGTCCGACGAGAACAAGGCGGCGCTCGGAGAGGCCGGTGAGGATCTCAAGGCAGCGGCACGGGAGCCAGCGGAGCTGGGGCCCGGGAAAGAGGCGCTTGGCCCGAGACAAGAGGTGGAAGAAGCGGCCGCGGAGAAGCCGGCGCGGGGAGGGACCGAGGAGCCTGCTAAGCACGCGAAGAAGGCGCTGGAGGTGAGCGTGCGGCAGGAGGGCGGGCTGCCGCACAGAGACCCGGAGCCGGGCGAGCGAGCGCTGGGAGCCCAGGCACACGCTGCCGCGCTGGACGGCGAGAAGAAAGCGGAGGCCGCGGGTGACAAGGAGAAGTCCAAGGTGCAGCCGCCCCGGGAAGCAGAGGAGGCTGCGAAGGAAGCTGAGCCCGGTAAGCTCCCCCGGCGTGCCTCCCCGCCGCAGATTCTCCTCTTATCCTGTAACCTCTCCCTGGCGACCGGGCAATTTGGTTATTTCCACCTGCATCCCAGGGATTCCTTTTAATTTCACAAGATGAGCACGTGCGTGCGCACAGCCCCTTCAGCAGCTGTCGGGGAAGGGGAGGAAGCTGGTGGCTTTGACAGCTACTACAATACCTGTCACGCAGTTGTTTGCTGGCCCCGTAAATGTCAGGTGCCGGGCTGTTCCCGCGTGCCTGTGAGCTCACCGGGGACGCGGAGCTGGGAGAGCTTGACAGGTAACACATTGCTAAGTGCCCATCTAGAAGCTGGTTCGAACAGTCCTTGCATTTTAATTGGCGCAGGTAGTTAGCACTGGCTCGCTGCCATGAGTCTGTAAGATTGTTAAATATTTTTTTATTGCTTCCCTCACAGTTATTGGGTTGAATATAAACTGTGCTGGCTGGGGAGGGGAGGGATGAGGTGCTGGGGAGCGTGTGGACCTGCTGCAGGGCTCCGCTCTGCTCATCCGCAGGGCAAAGGCAGGAGCTGCCCCCGGCAGCCGGAGCAGAGCTGGCCCAGGCCCAGCAGCCGGAGCAGAGGGAAGCCCGTGACGCCGAGGACAAGCAGCCCGGGAATGCCGAGAGCAGAGCGGAGGGGGAGAGCAGAGTGGGAGGTGAGAGCAGAGCAAGGGCGCACGCGGGCCCTGGGGCGCCCGGCGCCCTCCAGGAGCACGGGGCTGTCTCCCGGCGGGCCGCTCTCCTTGGCTCCGGGCAGCATGTAGCTTTGGGCCCTCCTCACCCCGGTGTCTGCGGATTCCTGCCCGTCTCCAGCAGGCTGACGCCCCGGAGAGGCTGGCGTGGCCCAGGCGAAGTCCCTGGCCCGGCCCACGTGGGGTGTGAGTCCCGCAGGAATCCAGCCCATGGAGCAGGAGCGGCCGGAGCCGCCCGGCACTGTGACCCTGTGCGTGGCCCTCGCTGGCGCTGGGCGCGCTGCCCTCCCCCTGCCCCTCACTAGGGCACGGGGCAGATGCCCAGGACCCATCGTGGGGTCCCAGGCTGCTCTCGCTCCCCTGGGGTCTGGGTGCGTTTCCACGCACATGCGACGGAACAGACCCAGACAGAGCGATGCCAGAGTCCTTGTGTGTCCTGGCTGCTCTGCGGCTCTCGGTGGGTCGCGTTCCCTTCCATCTGCTGGCTTATTTATTTATATTTTATTTCAGAAGCAGGGCAGCCAAAGCTGCTCGATCACGCGGTGCTGCTGCAGGTGATCAAAGAACAGCAGGTACAGCAAAAGCAGCTCCTCGATCAGCAAGCAAAGCTGCTGGCCGTGATTGAAGAGCAGCACAAGGAGATCCACCAGCAAAGGCAGGAGGAGGGAGGGGAGGAGAAGCCAAAGCAAGGTAAGGAGGCTGCCAGGGAGCCTGGCTGCTGGGAGAGCTTTAAAATCAGCCTGGGAGGGATCTGGTCCCTCTGGCACGTGGCGGGATCCGCTCTGGATCTGAGTGACCGTGGCCTGTGACGCAGGGACCCATCCGTGGGGGATGCTCTTCCTCCCAGCTCAATGAATCCTCCCGCGTGCACCCTGGGGCTCTTCCCTCCCGTGTTGCGGGCGATGTGGCGGTGGGAGAACCGAGGCCGTTACCAATCGTGGAAAACACCGCCTTGCCTTTCCCCCTTGCAGCGGAGACGCAGCCGGAGGCGGCGGGGCCGCGGAGCCGGGAGGAGCAGGGCCTGGTGGAGCAGCGCCGCGAGGGCCCCCACGGCCGCCGCCGGCCGGGGCCGCCCCCCGAGGACGCGCAGGAGGAAACGGACGGAGACGGCAAAAAGGCGGCGGAGAACGAGGCTGCCCTTCCCGGCGCGGCCCAGCGCCTGCCAGCGGCCAGAAACCACCTAGAAAAGAAGCCCTTGGCAGAGAATCCGGGAGGGGACGAAGCCAACGCTGGAAGAGGCGTCCATGAGAAAAACGTCCTGAAAGCTGCGGAAGCAGCAACAGCTCCCGTCCAAAGAGAACAGCTCGGGGCTGCCAGAGTTCAGGGAGTAGCGGGAAGGAGCCTGGAAAGGGACGCAGGAACAGACCTGAAAGCCAAAGCGCGGAGCCAGGCGGAGGCCAAAGAGCTGGCGCCTGCGCCGGGCTCCTCGAGCACGCGGCCCGTGGCGGGGAGCGAGCAGCGCGTGCGGGAGGCGCGCGGGGCGCACGGCCGCCCCGCCGGCAAGGGTGCTCCGCGGGAGCGGGCGGACGTGCCGCGGGATGCCCAGGAACAGCCGCTGGGCAAGCAGAGCCGTGCGGACGGCAGCCTCGCCAAAGAGGCCGGGAGGAAGCCGGGCGCCGAGGACGCTGCCGCCCAGCAGCCCGAGAATGGAGCGGCCGCCCACGGGGACCAGCAGCAGGACCGCGACGTCAAACCGAACCGGGAGCTGAAAGAGCAGGCGGACCTGGATCTGCGCCGCAGGAGACGGGAGCTGCTCCCTCACGAGGAGGAGGAGGAGGAGGACGGGGAGGCTGCGCGCGGGGCGGGCGTCCTCATAGGGCTGAACCCGCTGCCCGACGTGAAGGTGAACGACCTGCGCAGCGCCCTGGAGACGCGGCTGCAGCGCGTGGCCGAGGGCGCTCCACGTGCCGCGCAGGTGCCGCGCGCGGCCGGCGCCGTGTGAGCCCCGCCACGGCCCCGCTCCCCTCGAGCGGCTCCTCCCGGCCGGGCCCTGCGCCCGGGAACGGCGCCCGGGGCTCCGCGGTGCCGGCGCCTCCCCACGTGCGCCAGGCAGCCCTGGGAGGACCCCCGTCCTGGGGCTCTCCGAGGCCGCCCTGCAGCTCGGCCTGCTGCCGGGCCGCCTTCCCAGCCCCGTTCCGAGCCGGTTGCCTTCTCCGTGCAGATCCCATTGCCCCGCCAGGGCTGGGCCGGCTCCTGGGAGGCTCCTGCGGCGGATGCAGCGTCCGGGGGGCTTCGCTCCGCGTTGGAGACGCATCCTGCTCCAGCCGTGGAGCCGCCAGCCTTGCATGTTTAGGGGTAGTTGTGATTTAGGAACTAGTTTAGCAGAAACGCTGCCTTAACCCGGCACAACGGCTGCTGTTGTGCTGCCTCGTCCCAGGGATCCAGCTGGCCGGCCACACACTAGCAATAAGGGGAGCTCTGCGCTCCCCGCCTCGCCGGACGCTTGCGCTCTCATCTGTGCTTTTAAGCTCGACTTCTCCTGCCCAAAGTGCATTACGAAGCTCAGCCTGGCGCTGCAGACTGCCCCCGAACCAGCCCCGCTTCCCGCAAGAAGTGGCTGCTGTTTGGGAGCAAAAAACGTGGCTCAAAAGGGTGTTCGGGGGGCTCGGCTCAGGCATCTACCTCTTCTCTGTGTGGCTCCGTGGAGCGGTTGTTGTGTGTGTTCTTCGCAGCCCATTTGGCCGTGTGTTTTACATCCATAGGTGTCAGTTCTCCGCCCGGTAATGTGTTTCATGAGCAAGAAAGGGAAAAACTTCCCTGGGAGCCCTCGTTTGTCCAGGCTCCCAGGCACGATTCATCCCTCCTCTTTATTTTTTTAACTTTTAAATCCTGACTTGCGAATGTAAGAAAGAGAATCCCAAAGCTCTCACTAGAACGGCTGAAACTTCCCAGCCTGGAGTCTGCAGACCTCATCACTGTGGTGGTTTTTATACCTGCAAGTGTCTTTGTGCTCCAGCCTCTCCGCGCTGGGATCCGGCGGCATTTCCCGTTACCAGGTGTGTGGAAGCGGCGCCCGGTTTGGGCGCTGCCTCCGGGCAGCTCCTTTGCTCCCGGCTGGCCGCTCCGGAGGCAGTGGGGCCGGGACCTGCGCCCGCCGCTCCAAGGACTCACCCTAATTCCATTCAAGTGACGCGGAGCCCCTGCGACCGCCACGGCCTTACCGCTGGGCCGCCCTGCCGTACGGCGAGCTGCTCCATTGCGCTGCCTCAACGCACAAAGCGCCCGGGCGGGATCCCGGGGGGCCCAGGGCCAGGCTGCTCCCCGTGTCCCGGGGCGCTCCGGAGCCTGCGCGAGTGCAGGGCGCCAGGAGGAGCCGGGAGCGGCGGCGCTCGGCGCCCTCGACGTGCCTGCGTGTGCAAAGGACCAAAGATGCTCCGGATGCTCCTCGGCAAATGGAGCCGGCAGCTGGAAGCCGCGGGGAGCAGCCCCTGTGGCGGCAGGGCTGGAGGGGAGGCCGAGCTCTGTAGATCAATAAAACAAGCTGAAGCATTTTCACCTGAATTCTTTGTTTAAAACAGGAAAGAGAAAGAGCAAAGTCCCCTTTTCCGCAGGGCGAGGACCCTGCCGAGCTCCGTACCTGCAGGGCGCCGCTCTGCCTAAGGAAATCGGGGAGCTTTACGGCTTCTCCGTGCCCTGAACCTCCCCCTGCTCCTGCCTCCCTGCTGCTGAGGGAGAAGGGAAGGATCCTCCTGCCCCACGGGGCCGGAGAGGAGGCTCCGGGAGAGGAGGCTCCGGGAGAGGAGGCTCCGGGAGAGGAGGCTCCGGGAGCAGCCAGGGGCTCTGAACCCGGGGGCGGGAGTGGCGGCCGCGTCCCGCGGGATGTCGATCCCGGTGCCCGCGCGGCCCCGGCCCCGCTCGGGGGTGCCCCTGGGCCCGGCGGCTGCAGCGAGCGCAGGGGCTCCCGCCGGCGGATCCGCAGCTCGAGGCCGGGGCGAGCCGGGATGTCGGGACCGCGTGATTAACTGGGCAGCGTTTAATTGAGCCGCGCTTTATTGAGCCGCACTTTATCGAGCCGCGCTTTATTGTGCGGACGTGGCCGGCAGGCCCGGCGCCCTCTCCTCGCGTTCCTCACGTCGCCGCTGTCTTCACCTGGGGAGAGAAGCGATGGGCGCGGTGCGGGGCCCGGGGGCAGCCCGGTCCGTGCAGCCCAGCCCGGTTCGTGCAGCCCGGCCCGGTTCGTGCAGCCCGGTCCGTGCAGCCCGGCCCGGTTCGTTCAGCCCGGTCCGTGCAGCCCGGCCCGGTCCGTGCAGCCCGGTTCGTTCAGCCCGGTCCGTGCAGCCCGGCCCGGTTCGTTCAGCCCGGTCCGTGCAGCCCGGCCCGGTTCGTTCAGCCCGGTCCGTGCAGCCCAGCCCGGCCCGTGCAGCCCGGTCCGTGCAGCCCGGTCCGTGCAGCCCGGCCCGGTCCGTGCAGCCCGGTCCGTGCAGCCCGCGCCGCCCGTACCGGCCGCGCCACGCAGGCGCGCAGCGCGCGGAACTCCTCGGCGCACACGTCCCGCCGCAGCTCCGCGCCGCGCGCCGCGGCGGCCGCCACGCAGCGCCCGTAGGCGGCGGCCTGCGGGGAGGGAGCAGAGAAGCGGCTGGGGCCCGGCCCCGCTGCGGCCCCGGCCCGGCCCGGCCCGGCCCCACCTGCTCCCCGCAGCCCGCCAGCCGCTCCGGGAGCCGCCGCAGCCGGGCCCGCGCGCGCGCCCACGCGCCCTGCGCCGCCATCGCCGCCGCGGCCTCGCGCGCCCCCATTGGCCACGCCGCCTGCTCGTCAAAGCGACGGCGCCTCTCACGCTCGGCGCTGTCGTATGCCCGCCCCTCCTGCGCGCGTTCATAGGATAGCTACTTTATCCGTCAAGGAACTGCTCTATGATTGGCTCCGATGTAAGGGCGTTGCCTCGCCCCTCGCAGTTGGCTTAGTTGACCGCCTGACACCGTGGATTGGTTACGAGTAGTGCCCGCCTACTGGACTCCCCCGCTGGCAGTTCTGATTGGCTGAGCTGCCCGTTGTTTACTTCCGCTCTCTCGCCCAGTCACAGCTGGCGTCAGTATCGTGGGACGCTTCCGCCCGGAGCTCCGCCCTCTCCCTTCTCTGATTGGCTGAGATAGGGCATCTCCCGCTTCCATTGGTGCTTGGCGTCTTCCGGAGGGCGGAGCCCCGAGGCCGCCGTGGGGTCGGGCAGGGACAGGCACCGGGAGCGTCATGGCGGCGCCGCTGCGGGACCGGCTGAGCTTCCTGAGCCGGGTACGGGCGGGCCGGGCGGGAGGGGCGCCCGCCGCCGTGACGTCACCCCGCCGTGACGTCACCCCGCCGCCGTGACGTCACGCAGCCCCTCCCCGCCGCGGAGACCCTCCTCCCCGTGCCCTCGGCCCCGCACTAGAGCCGGGCTCCCCCCACCGGGCCCCCCTCCCTCCTAGTCCCGGGGTCCCCCTGGTTCCGATGTCACCCGTTTCCGGGGTCCCCCTGGTCCCGGTGTCCCTGTGGTCCCAGTGCCACTCGTTACTGGTGTCCCCCCTTGCTGGGATCCCCCTGGTCCCAGTGTCGCTCGCTGCTGGTGTTGCCCTGGTGCCGGTGTCACTGGGTGCCGGTGTCACCCTGGTCCCGGCGTGTCCCGGCGTGTCCCGGTGTGACCCGGCGTGTCCTGGTGTGTCCCGGTGTGTCCCGGTGTGACCCGGCGTGTCCTGGTGTGTCCCGGTGTGACCCGGTGTGTCCCGGCGTGTCCCGGCGTGTCCCGGTGTGTCCCGGTGTGTCCCGGTGTGACCCGGTGTGTCCCGGTGTGACCCGGTGTGTCCCGGCGTGTCCCGGCGTGTCCCGGCGTGTCCCGGTGTGACCCGTCGTGTCCCGGCGTGACCCGCTGTGACCCAGCGTGTCCCGGTGTGTCCCGGCGTGTCCCGGCGTGTCCCGGTGTGTCCCGGTGTGACCCGGTGCCGCCGCTCGCGCCCCGTTGCAGCTGCCGGCGCTGCTGAAGGGCACCGCGGACGACGACGCGCCCTGTCCCGGCTACCTGCTGGACGACATCGCCCGTATCCTTGGGGCCGGGCGCGGGGGCTGCCGGGCGCGGGGGCTGCCGGGGTGCAGGGGGTGCTGGGCGCGGGTGCCGGGTGCGGGGGCTGCCGGGGTGCCGGGTGCGGCGGGTGCCGGGTGCGGGGCTCCCTGCGGCGTCTTCCCTAACCCGTGCGCCAGGGATCTCGCACGAGTCACCCGGCAGCAGCCAGTGCCTGCTCGAGTACCTGCTGCAGCGGCTGCAGAGCCGCTCGTGCCGCGTGAAGCTCAAGGTGAGCGGGGCCGGCGCTGGGTGCACCGCGCTGCATTGCGCCGTGCAGCATTGCACCATGCAGCGCCGCGCTGCATTGCGCCGTGCTGCATTGTGCTGTGCTGCATTGTGCTGTGCAGCATTGCACCGTGCAGCGCCGCGCTGCATTGCGCCGTGCTGCATTGCGCCGTGCAGCGCCGTGCTGCATTGCGCCGTGCTGCATTGCGCCGTGCTGCATTGCGCCGTGCAGCGCCGTGCTGCATTGTGCTGTGCAGCATTGCGCTGCATTGCACCATGCTGCATTGCACCGTGCAGCACCGTGCCGTGCTGCATTGCGCCGTGCAGCACCGTGCTGCATTGCACCGTGCGGCACTGCACCGTGCGGCACTGCACCGTGCAGCACCGTGCTGCATTGCGCCGTGCTGCACTGCACCGCGCTGCACCGTGCGCTCCCGGCCCTGCCCGCAGGTGCTCAAGATCCTGCTGCACACGTGTGCCCGGGGCTCGCCGCGCTTCGCGCTGCAGCTGAGGAGCAACGCGGCCTTCGTGCGCGAGGCGGCAGGTACCGGCCCGGCACGAGGCCCGCGGGGGGCACCGTGTTGGGGAACACCCCGCCGACGCGGCTGCACCCCACAGTGTTCACCGGACCCCCGGATCCCCTGCACGGCAACGGCCTCAACCAGAAGGTGCGGGCGGCGGCGCAGGTGGGTATTGCCATCATGTTCCCATTGCGTTCCCATCACATTCCCTCCGTGTCCCGGGCGGCTCCGCGCCGCTCCCGCCACGCGGCCCCTCCGTCCCCGCAGGACTTGGCCGCCCTGCTCTTCTCGGATGCTCCGCAGGCCGCGGCGCTGCCCGCCCGCCCGCTGCCCCCCGCAGGTAACGGCGCCGCGGGCGTCCCCAGTGCCTCGGGCTGCCGCTGGGCGCGTGAGGCCGCGGGCAGCGGCGCCAGAGCCCCCGGCGCTCCCTGAGGGCGCTTGTGCCCCCAGGGATGGGCTCCAAGTCCAGCAGCAACATGCAGGGATTCGGCTTCAGCAGCGACAGGGCCGGCCCCGGTGAGCTCCCAGTGCTGCTCGGTGCCGCCGCGCCACCGGGCTTTGCAAAGCCCTCCCTTGGGCCGGGCTCTGGGCTCTGCGCCGGGGCCGTTGCCGCCCGCCCGCCTCCCCGCGGGGGTCCCGCTGCAGCGGGGAGGCCCCTGACGTGCGGCCCCGCGCAGCCTCCGCAGGCGAGGCCCTGCTGAGCAGCCTGCAGC